CCCCCCCCCGCCATTGCCGGGCGCCGTGCCTGTGCGGCGGCTCGCGCCGGGCCGCAGGCCAGGCGGCCCCGGATGTTCCGGATGCGAGCGGCGTCCGATCGATCACTTGCGTTGGATGCTCGCCCCCGGGGGCGGCCTCCTGATGACTCGTCTGCTGGCAGTCGGGCGTAGTGGGCACACAGACACACACACACACACACACACACACACCCGGCGGGCGAGGTGGCGGCGGCTTTGGCTCCCGGTGGCGGGCCTCCGTGCCCAACTGTCTCCGGCTCGGCCAGACTAATTGCCGACATTGGGGGTGCCCCCTCTCGGGCAGGGCGGCGTTCCGCGCCGGCCAGGCCGCCGCTCCCTGCCCACTCTCGGGAGCCTGCGGTTCGTCGGCAGCCGGCCATGCTGAGGCGCCACCCGTTCGGTTAAGGCGCGGCTCGTGCCGGCGCGGCTCCAGATCCGGCGGTGTGGCGCCGGACATCAGAACCGCGCCGGCACGAGGCGCCGGAATGCGCCCTCGCCGGCCGGGGGGGGGGGGGGGGGGGGGATTTTCGGTTGGGCCCGCGCCGGCGGGGGCCATTTTCGTGTCCGCCACACGGCCAGGACGGGGGCTCCGGCCCTTTTTCCACCCCCTTTCCTTGCCCCCGGCCGGGGAGGGGCGCACGGCCAAGGGTCGTGCACTTGGCCCTGCCCGGGGTGGTTCTCTCCCTCTCGTGCGTGCGCGGTGCGCGCCTTGTCATCCTGCCGCGCATGGGGTCGGTCCGTGGCCCGGCGCCCGGTGTCCTGCTCGTTGGGCTCCCCTGCGGATGGTGGTGCCAGCACCGGGTTCGGGGCGCCAGCCGCCGCCGCCGCCGCCGCCGCAGGGCCGGGGGCGAGGGAGGCACTCTGCCCCCCTGCTGTGGACGTGGGGACCGGTCGGCCGCGCCCCGCACCACCCGGCCACACAGCCGCCGGCCGCCGCGCCGGGCCGACCCAGGCAGGGGCCCGGGAGAGCATGCTCGTTGGTCGCGGCGCCCTGGGGGGGGGGGGGGGCTGTCTCGCCAGGAGGGCGCCCCCGGCCCAAGAGTGGCTCCGGCAGTCCCGGGCAGTTAATGAGTTGTGTCGGTCCGGACGGCGGCCGGGCCGAGAGGGGGACATGGGGCGGGGGCAGGGTCCCCCCTCCCCCCCCCCCCCCCCCCCGCACCAGTGTGGGCGTGTTTCTCCCCGGCCTGGGGCGCGAGCGCCGGCGGGGGAGGAATCGGGAGGAACGGAGGAAGGCCGCACGACACCCACCCCGTGGCTCTCGCCGCATGGATGCGGGCGCCGGCGCACCGGAAGCCGCCTGTTGCCAAGGGTGCCCCCCCCCCCCCGCCGCCGGAGACCCCTCGGCGAGGAACGCCGGCCGGGGGGGGGGGCGGGGACGTGGCGGCCGAAAAGCCGCGAGGGCGGGGCGAAGACTGCGCGCCTCGCACAATGCCAGCATCTCGGCGGGCCGTCTCCCCTCCGGAGGAGGCTCACTTGAGCTCTCCACCGTGCGGGCGGGGGGAGGGGGGGGGGGCGATGCGTGCGGCTGGCAGCCGCGGCAACCCGCGGAGCGTGGTCCAGCATGATGACCTGCCTGCCGGGCCCAGCTGTCGCGGCGGCGGCTGGGGCGAGATACGGCCCCCCCGACCGTCCTGGCACATGTGCGGCAGGCCCGGACCGAGATCCCCCACACGCACGCACGCGCGCACGCACGCACGCACGCACGCACGCGCACATGTGAAGCCGCCCGCTCCACATGCACAGCCGCCGGCCGCCGCTCCCCGCCGGGGAGACAGAGGGAGCGAGCCGGAAGGACCGAGCTCCTCGATCGGCGGCGGCGGCGGTGGCGGCGGGGGGCCTTAATTTGGTGCTCCCCCCGTCCCCCCCCCCCCCCCTCGGGTGCTACTCCGGGCGGATTTCAGTGCCCCGGCCCCGTCGCCCCTGCCCCCTTCCGCCCCTCCATCGCTGGCTGCCCGGCCGGGGGCGGGAAGACGCCGCCGCCCGGCGATCGAGGCCCGAGGAGCGGGCTCACGGGGCGCCGATCGCCGCGCTGGCACCCGCCGCGGCCCCACACACAGTGCCACCGCCGGGGGCACTTCCGCGCCAGGGGTCGGCCCTCTCGCCGGCGGCCTGACAGTGGAGCTGGCCCGGCCAAGGCGGGCCCGGCGCCCTTCCTTGGCCGGGCCCGCGCTTCCAGGCGGGCGTCCCCCGCCTCCCCCTCCTGGCCAGACTCCTCCATCCAAGGAGGTGCCGCCGGCGGCCGGGTGCTGGGGGCGGACCGGCCACTCGCGTGAATCGCTCCCCCACCTGGTCGGCCCTCGGGGCGCGAGGCTGTCTCCCCCCGCCCCCCCCGCCCCCTTGAGGACGGGGCTGGCCCGATGCAGCTGTTCCCGACGGCAGGGCGCTCTTTCGGGGCTCGCGCGCCCGTGGTTGCCAGCATGTTTCGGCCTTGGGCCTGCTCGGTTCCGGCTGAAAACCGAGCGTCCAGCTGGGGTACCCCTTTTCCCCGGGCCTTTTCCGCCCACGACCAGGCTGCGGAGAGGCCGGCGTCCTGTTCGCCCGACCGCGCGCCGCGCCACCGAGCCGGCAACGTTCCTGTGCCGGTACCAACAAACAATCCCCCCCCCTCCCCCCCCGGGCTCCCCCATCTCCATGTCGCGCGGCTGGCCGGGCGTGCATACTTGCCGGAGGGGAGGGCCCCTTCCTTCGCCGAGGCCCCACGGCGCGCATGCCCGCCGCAGAGAGACAGACGGAGGGAGGTGCCGGAATGCCGTCCAAGGTACCGCCGGCGTCTGTGCCTTCTCCTCCGCCCCCCCCCCCCC